AATAATATCCTGCAGAACTCAACATTGAATTTGAAGTATAAAAGTAGAATAATCTGTCTCCGTGCTAATAAATTACTTAGTTCGTATTATATAGAAGAACATTAAGTTGTGTAATCTTCACAGAATTATTTGAAATGCCGTAGTCTATTTAAAGATAATATTAACCAGTAGCTTCATGAAAAATTGATTTTACGTTAGTCGTGATAAAGTATACAGAGAATAGTAGATTTCGTCAAGAAAAGACAACCCGAAAAACCCGACAGTTTTCGAAGTGTAACCCGAGCCCAACCTCGGGTCCGGTCGGGTCGGGTTGCAGGGCTCTACCTTATATGTATTATATTTCTTATTAATATAAAGTCAAAGTGCTATACAAACCAGAGCATAGTATTCTAGAAATTTTTTTCAATAGTTATAGACCTTGGTGTCATCAGAATAGATCTATAATTATATACAACATCAACCAAAAAGTAATGTTTGATTTTTCTGAATAATTTCTATTATGTTTATTCGTAAAAAATGATGATTATTTTTTTCTAATGAAAAACTAACTATAAGTATATATTTTATTTTTAATATCATCGATCAATTGATAATTATTTGATATTTATTTGGATTGATGTAACTTCGTCAAAAATGCTGAGGAAGTTACAATTTCATCGACCGGTGTAATTTCGATACGACACAAACATTGAGTTTTGCTAGATATACAAATATTGAACTCCAGCAAGTTATGCAAGATTACAATAAATTACATAACAAACGACAGAGAAGTGAAAATATCGAGAAAATTTATGATCAACCACAAGACTAGCCGGCTTTTCTTTAACAAAATGGATTCAACATAGATCGATGTTCACTTATTGGATGTCATCTGATCGATAAATGAGTAGACGACCGGGTTACCTACATTGATAGATCATATAAGAGACTGACGGGACAATGAAAAACTGTTTCGCCAAGAGCCATCAAGAATTGTTTAGCGGCTGTCTCTCGTTACGCCTAGATTTTTTCAATCCCATTTCATATCGCGCACATCTTTTCTGCCAAAAGGTCGACGTCATACATATATGTTCATTTCTTTCTCAAACGAAAAAAGTATTGTCCGAGCAAAGAATGTCGCCTTGAGAACAGAATAAGCAACAATACATATGCGTGATTATATATTTCGTTCTCTATTTCAGACGGAATAGATTTCTTTCATTGTCCCATTTGTCATCATTGTTCATTCAGGTGGAATTGACCGTCACTGTTATTCTTTTTTTTTCAATATCTATTTACATCAGAATCGGCAGACGCGGCAATCTGTTCTTCTTCTATTCTGTGAACATTGAATCGTTCGCTATTATGATGTGGCACACAGACGATTGTTTTTGCCTTTTGTTGTTCTATTAAAGTGATCGAGCCGAAGAAGCATGCAGTCCTGCCTATTCCGTATCGTGACGAGATGAGATTGGTTCTGTGTCTCGTCATTCTGTCGGTTATATATTTTTTCTCGCAAGTTAATCTTTCTCAATAGGCAGAAAATTTATTTGTCCGTCTATGATGAATGTATAAATATTGACAACGCAGTAGAACTGCTTCATTTAACAAAATGTGTGACTATTTCGATTGGGATGATGATGATAAAAAACTAATGATATCACTTCGTTATTGCTCACATGAAACATGTGTAGCACTCACTCAACCAACTTATTGGCAAGAAGTAAGTTTTGAGTTAATCACAGGATAATATTTATTATTCTATGAAAATATTATTCAGTTAACACTAGGTACATCAATTTCAATATCAGCAAAGGGAATTTTTGTTCCCAAGGAATTGGAAGAAATAATTGCTGATGATGATCCTTGGAGACTTCAACTTATTATTCAGAGAGAACATGAAAAAGACAAAAAAAAATTAGAAGGTTTGTGTTTTTTATATTTAATAATGCTATTAATCTTGAACGAACTTTTATATTAAGAGATTTCTTGGATAATTTATAGTCGTTTTTTTGCTTATCCACGCAAGGATCCTAAACTATGGGAAGATGATGTACGTACATACTAATTATCATTAGTATATGATTTTCTTTTATTTATATATTTAGCGCGATACTGGCAAAATAATAGTATACGGATGTCTTTAAAATTCTCTTCCTACATTAATATTTAATACAAATCAATATTTGTTAGGCGAAGGGGTTTGTATTAATTAGATTTATAATAATCGATCTTTGATGAAAAAAGATACTGTTGTTATTTAGAATTATAAGATAATAAACATTGAAAATCTATTGAGAATTTCAATTACTATTGATCAATCTTTGCCAAACTTTTATCGTTTTTCAACTTCGTAAGTATAAATAGAGAAGATTTTTCTGGTGTTCAATTACTTGTCACGAGTGATCGAAAAGTAAGTTGATAAAATGTTTATGCCTTTTCTCAATCTTTTAAAGAAGCTTGTAGAAATTTGAAAACATTAAGTTAGAATCGAAATTTTATAATCTTTCCGAATATAGATTCAACATTTATCTTTGACTTCTGATTTAGAAGTTATGAGTCGGACTTTTCGATGCTCAAAAATTAAGTTTGAACAGAGAAAATTAACGCTTTTTTACAATAATATTTTCCTTTGCTGTATACGTTATATTACGGTTATTGTTTTACATAGAATCAGCAGCAAGACTGCTCTCTACAAGATGATACGAACATCAAGAGTTTTAAAATCATCATTCAAGAAACTAGCTGAGTGTACTTTACCAATCTGTTTTCCATCGAAATCGAGAAAATGGCCTAAATTGACACTATATTTCTTACCAAAATACTCATTCTTGACAAATGACTGGTAGCAAACTAATCATTAACATAATATTTTATAGAAAAATTTTTGTTCTTTCATTCATTCTATTTGAAATAATTTTTATTTGTACTTCGGATAATTTTTGGATGCACTGAAGTTCGTCCAGACTTGATTTATGAGCTTCTAGAAGGTTCGCTCATAACTTTTATATCAAAACTCCTACAACAGTGTAGAACTCATATTCGGAAAGAGCGCAAAATTCTGATTCAAATCTAATGCTGTCAAATTTGTGTAGACTCTTTTAAGAGGTTTAAAAATCAATGAATATTTTGTTAAATTATTTTTCGATCACCTGCGTTATTTAGACACGTTTTGTCTAATGCAAGAAAAAGAAGAATTTAAAAAAAAATTCCATTGGTTTATTCTAGTAACACAAGTACGACTATTACCAACGTTTTTATTCTTCTAATAGAGACACTTGTGAAATAAGCTCAATATCAATATTTAACCGCATTTACTTTTCGTCACGCACCATCTATAGTAAGATCTGTCATTCGAATGAAAGACTCAAATGAATGTACACGGTTACAATATGCGAAAAGTTATAAACGAGTAAGTAAATAATATTTGATTTCTCTTATAATAGTGCAAAATAAAATATTCATAGAAACGAGCTGAGCAAGATGAAAAACAATCGATAACAAGCAATACAAGTAAGTTCTATCAATCTGTTAGAATATGAATGTTTTTTTTTCTTATTCTAGAACAATCAAAAGTTGATTCAAATCAGAATATCACAGATGAAACAACTCCTGATGAAAATATATATCAAGCTAGCCATTCTGATTAATATTCTAATTAGATTTATCTCGTCAACATCTAATGATATGAAATATGTTTTTGCTTGTTTAAAAATATTTTGAAAACTTATTTTTTCACGCCAAATTATGATACTGTGCGAAATGAATTTGTGTACTAGTTTCATAATGATGTGTTTCTAATGATGAGTGTATATAAAAGTTTAACATTTTTGAAAAAAAATATATGAAAATATTTTATTGTGTTATTTCTTTAGTCAGTTTGTAAACACTTGGGAGTCGACATAGGATATGTTCATAAAGACGTTTGATGTTCTCAATGAAATTGGTATACATAAGACAGTTCCATTTTCATAATAAACTTAACCAATATAAAAGCCGGATATCGATTCTATATAAAAATTTTCAAATGATTAAGAATGAAACAGACAAGATAGCACGTGTACACCAAATTACCCACGGAAAAATTTTTGAATAACGGTGTGGAGTGGGAGGGGTGTGGGTGCCTTCTCTTCTTATACGCACACCCTTTAGTTGCTTTCTAGTATTTTCTACACTCAAACATGCACAAATGCTATTCAAAAGTAATGGCTTTATCCATAACATTGATTTTTGTTTTCAACTTATGTTTAGATTTATTTTTATTCTGTAAAAAAAGTAAAGACCATTTCATCGATATATCACAGTTTGTAGCTTTGAAGGTTGTTTACCATCAAATTTCTTTTTTTAAATGACTTCACTGAATTATCTGAATTGAAACGTACTCCAGAAAATCGATAATAATAAACAAGCCTGTGATATTTCGCTATTACTACTCATTGATTGAAGATGTATGATTTTTCAAAGTTGGACGAATAATTTCTCGCTTTAAAAATTTCATATACACCTACTATCTTGCTAGGTATGGTATACTAAATGATGATGTATGATTCAGCTCTCTAACTTATTTGATATGCATATATAGTACAGAGAACACAATGAAGTTACAAGGGTAGATGAATAATTTTTCGACTCACAGTACATGTTTCTCACAACATCATACCGGCACAGGTAAATTGAAAATGATCGGTTATGGCTCATTGGTAGTCAATGAAAGGTGTTTAACACTTGAAAACGAAATTACCTATTATATTAATGTTATTTTTCTTCTCGCTGATGAAACCGACACTTCTTTTCGTTGAGTAAGGCAAAATGCGCCGTCTATATTCTTGCAGAATGATGTATAATGAAGCAGTCATGTGCTTGACAAGTTGTATTCGACTCTTTCTTTCAGGTAACATAAATGCTTGCAAGGAAAGAACACTGTTAGGGACCCTTTTAGTTTTTCATTAGTAAAAATATTGCATCTATCATTAAAGAAAAGAAAAAATGCATGAATCATCGGGAATAAGTGTATGTGAGCCTCTCGTTTTTTTCACTATATATAAAACACAATAAACAATCTACCGTCAATATTTGTTGTGTTTGTTAACCAACGTGCATACTAAATGGAGACGAAATGGAGTGACATGCTGGGAAAAACTTTAATTGAAGCTAATGCCCGTCGAGATAGCTACATTTTTCGACACGTACCGATCAGTGAACTCGCGAATAAAGTTATTGCGATCTATTTTTCGTATGTAAATATTGAACTAAATCACAAGTTAAAAAAATTACTTTTTCAGGGCTCACTGGTGTGGACCTTGTCAAAATTTTACTCCAAAATTGGCTAAATGTTACGAGGAAGTCCAGCCTGAATTATACGATCGATTTGATATTGTGTTTGTGTCGTCGGATCGAGATGAAAAATCTTTCGACGAATATTTTAAAACAATGCCATGGAAAGCCATTCCTTATTCAGGTAGTTTAACATTTTCAGCAACGAAACAATGCCACTTTTGGAATTAATATCATCCTTATAGTATTTCCCAGCTCAATATATTTTTAGAAAGTTTTACACTGGTTTTTATCTCGAAACTTTAATAGGGTCGTTACTGTTTGAATACCAAAAACTGCAATTATGAAGTAAAACTAAAAGGAAAATGACAGAGTTCCTAATTAGACTACTTTATCTTAAGGACTTTAATGACGAAGAATTCTGACGACGTTCTGTAAAATTCATACACGCCAAAGAAAATAGCGATGAATCGAGAGTAGAACCAAATAGGATTTGACTTGGGAATTGACAACTATGAAAAAATATGTCAGAGCTATCTATTTTCGAACCAGCGAAGAAAATTCTGCTAATATTCAGAAATAGTTTAGAAAATCCAGAAATTTTTGTAAAATAATGTGGTACATGCGGAGTCTCTTGAAAGGTACAGGGAAATTTTGAAAAATCTGTAAATATATTAATGTAGACTTCAGAATATGGAGACCAGAAGCTTTACTGTTTCCTTTTGACTAAAATAGTATTTTAAATTTTATTGCTGTATATAACTTGATGTGAAAACTTTTGTTCTCACGGTCGAGGATTTTAAATATGAGTAGTTCTTCATAGCAGTAGTCGTAATTAGAGTTTTACAATTTTAGTACTTATCAATTCACAGATGAATTTGCAAACAGACAAAAAGCTTTCAATCACTTGATTCGATCAGAGGAGAACATATTTTTGAAATTTTTTTATCTTTACATTGACATCTACAAAAATTCTCAGAAATTTTAATTTCGACTACTGTTATGAGGAACGACTCATACTGAAACTTTCAGCTCTCGAACGTACATTCAGAGTTTCGCGAGAAAATCTCAAAATCTTCTACAAAACAGACTAAAAAATGAAGGATAAAATTAAACTTTCCTATCAAACATAAAACATTATCAATAAGAATTCTGTATGACTAATTATCACAGCAAGAAGGACGTGAAACTGCAATTCAATTTTCTCACTCTTATTTTGAATCTTCTGATCTCCTAGTAACCAATACAATTTCGTTTGAAAACTTCATTACTAAAACTTCTGAAATCAAAAATCAAAATTACTTGTCAAGTGTATTTGAACGAATGTGAAGAATATACATGACTATTCTTTGCACCCATACTCACTCACCATCACTTTCATCCTCACATCTTCATCCCTTCTGAAAATTTCTTGGCTCGGACTTTGAATCTAAAAATTCGGCGGGTATGTGGTTATGGACGTTAAATTTCTTTTCAATCAAACCCATAGCAACATCAATCAAATCGTGTCTGAAGTTTTAACTGATCGAAATGACTGATTTCGAATATTGACACTATCAAAATGACGAATTATTCGAGTTGAAAGCGAAAAGTTCAACTTTCTCTACGCTCGGTTAACTAAAGATAACACTTTGCCACTTCTTGTCACCGCTAGTCGCAAGAAAACATAGTCATGTTTGACTAGTCTTTTTATGCACTCAAGAATAACTTGAATGAGGAAAAGCTTTCTTGTCATTTCTCAGCTTTCCAAAGAAAATCTGTTTGGAGAATGAAAATAAATCATAATTGAATTTGATTACAATTGCTAGCTGAATTCTTTCATTTCAGATCGAGATCGTTCGAAACAATTGAGTGAAAAGTTCGATGTAGAAGGCATTCCAACACTGGTTGTTCTATCAGCTGATGGAAAAATCTTAACTGGAGATGGCTGCGATGATGTTCTTAGCAAAGGAGCTGAAGCTATTCGACTCTGGTCAACAGATGATCAAAAAACTACTACATCCCCAAAAGAATATGTATGGCCTGGAGTTTCTTGCAAAGGATGTCAAGTGAATCCAATTATGGGACAACGATACAAGTGTTCTACTTGTGATGGCTACAATTTATGCTCTGCATGCCAGAAGAATGGGCATGAGCATGAACTTACACTTGTGCCACAGACATTAACGACGATTGAAACACTTGTTCGCAAAGAAATAAATGCAAACCCTTAACTTCTCAATGGCTTTCCAAGTCAAACAAAACAAATAAATTACAATTGAGCGAACTATTCATTCATGAACCTTGAGAAATCAGTTTATTAAAATTAAAAATAAAATTGGCAAAACTTATTCTTTATTCGAACTAGGGTGTGGGAGTGTGATGAGAAGATTTACACCCACAATCCATTCAAAATTATACAATTTAATAGCTGAATTTCTTGTCATTAATGCGTGCACATACTGTCTTCATTCATGTTTTGCTTTCTAAATCTCATTCCATTAGTCGTAGTTGAAATCGCTATTGAAATTTCTTTTCCTACGTTCAATTAAAAAATCTTACCAAAGGATTCAGTCATTGGTGAAAATAACCAGTGAAAATATTCAAACAATCAATCACCTTGCTGAGAACTATAATAATGATTCTGACATATTTTAGATGATTTTGCATGACAAAATGGAATATAATCGTTTTTTTTCCGTTTTCACCTGAAACAATCAACGTATGTTTTTCGGAAACACATTTTATTCGAATTGAAAACTGTGAAAATATGCAAGAAATATAAGCAAAAACAAAATAGTTGAAAATATTAGATGGGAAATTCACCAGTCGATAATGTTCAATGTTAACGATAATCATAAATGGAACTTCTTGGTTTTCAATATGTTTGTGTTTGTATCATAATTCCTATAGAAAAATAGTCAATTAATTCAATATCATAAAGTACTCGACATGGTAATCTGAAAGAAGAATGTACGATTGATGAAATCAAGTATCAGCGACATTTTCTCGATGAGATATCATCGAAACACTATGTCGATAACATATCTAGATTATTTACCACTACCACGGCCATCATTATAACGAAAAACAAAGACAGGATCACGATCAAGACAACGACGACCAGTGAAACGAAAGTAACAAAGAAGACGATTGCAACAATCACTGTCATGACGACAAGGGCCATTCATATCCATACAAATATTGCAGTATATGCCTAGAAATGCTAAAATCAGCACCACATAAATCACTGCTTTGATGCTGTACATTTTATGGTGTTTGATTGCAGAAAGACGATAATAGACGAAGAAGAATAAATATATGATTATAAATTGACAATGATACTTTCCCTCTGATGTACCCAACTATCACAGGCGTACGAGGTAGATAAAAAAGGGATGAATGAACAAAAAAAAGATGTTTTCTTTCATACCGTTGATTGGAGTGCAAGTATTTGCCTAGAAAGGTACTCGAAGAAAGAGTTCGAGTGTTGGTCTTCTCATAACATCCACACACTCATTCCTATCTTAAAATCAAATGAATGGCTAAGTTTAGTTTCTGAAATCAATCTTTTATCGCAGCTCCAACTGAGGAACTATGTTCTAACAGTTCAGTTGTCATATATTAAGAAAATATTTATGATAATATGATATGTTCAATACATAATCATTCATTTACTTTTCAAAATTCAAACATTGTCGATGATCTTCTTGTTGTTTTCGATGGAGTACTCGACTCAACCTGATCAATAAAACTAAGTACAGAGGAATGAACAGTTTTATTCTACCATCTTTTGAATATCTTAGAGATCCTTGATAACTCTTATGGAGAAGAATCGCTTTACCCATTATCAATGGCCAACAGTGACTCTTCTCGTACTTCTTTACGCCCATAAGTTCATGAGTTGATGTATGTTCTAGAATTGCTTCTAATTTCAATGAAAAAGTTGAAGAAAAAAAGAAGACTGATCAGGGATATGATCTTGGTTTTTGTCTAAATTATTTCTAAATAAGAGAATGAATATTTGAAAAGAACGAACTCCTGTATGATACTTGAAAACTCTTCAGGTAGATAAACAAAAAGAACTTGTGAAATATAAATTAGAATTTTATACCTTGGAATTTTATATTCGAGTCCTTTCTGCTAATCGAACACAATCAAGGTGAAATTTAGTGCAGTATCGTTAATCTCGAATGGCATAATTATTTGTAGTTGAGGATGTGAGGATGGATGCGAGTCTTTCTTTTACTCACATCCGTACTCATCCACTCATCGTTTTCAGATTTTAATTTTACCAGTTGATTGCAGTATATATATAGAGCTTCGCACTTCTCATAACATAACGGCTAGTCAAGTCTATTTGACTTGATTTGCTTGACATTTTGTGAAATGACTTTATTTGAGACTTAGTCAATAAAACAAATTCACTTTCAAGTCGAAATATTGCATCCAGTCAAATGCTGTGTATACACACTATCAGTAGTCACCTTTAAGTAGCAATTACAGAGTAGCCATTAGGTAGAATCAAGAATAAAAGAAGTATAGATGAGTTCACAAATAATAAACATGTTGAACGAAAAACAAATTCCCTTCATTCCAACTAGATGAACACTTATGATATTTTTCTTGACCATACGATTCACCTACTATTTTGAGTTCATTGTAGAAGTATAACAATGTGTTCAAATTCAAACATGTATTATTAAAATCATTCTAGAAACGATGAACTTTTATTGTTCATCGGCATGCCACAGAAAACAATATGTTCGACCACTTTCAAAGTAAACAGAACTATGTCTCTAGCATCATTCTCGACTGGCCTCAAAATGCTTACTGCGAAAAGCAAAAATAGTTGTTGATATTATGGATATGAGATCGAAAATCGCTAGTCACTCACGAAAGAACTACAGTGAACAGAAATAGGTAACTTGATTCATCGTTGATTTAAGTCTAGTCAATTCAACTTCTTTGTAACTTGATCTGATTTGAAATTTTCCAAGATGACTGGACTCAACTTGTGACTTGATTATTTCTGCTTCTTAATATGCACTTCTATATCATCCAATATTTTGGTTGACGTCTATGAATAAAAGTCAAAAGTTTCATATCAATCCAATACAGAGCATCCTGGACGAAAACGAAAGTGGATTCAATGCAATTTTTGAAGCTTGCTGCTGCAGTACGAGTTTAGAGTAAACAAAATTTATTAAAGACTCTGTTAGAACTCAATGACAGAGAACTTAACTGAGAGAGATTCTTTTCGAGAAATATCAGATTTTCATTTGTGACCATTAATTCTTTGTGCAAATTACCAGGTCATAGTTCTATGTGATACGCGTTCTATTCTATTTAATACGATCTAAACGCAAATTTATCGCTTTATTATACTGTGTAGCTCTAATAAGGATTTGAAAACATTTCCTTTTTGATGACGAATAATGTTCAATCAATCACTCAGCGTTATAATGTAAACTAATGTATAGTCATGGCTTTCTGATACTTTCTTTATATATCAGAAAAAAATAATTTTTTTACTTTAATACAATATCATGAACTATGCTGGAATGCCTATGAATTCTCATATGCAATTTTGTTCAGGGTCTGCCAAAATTGCAAACAATCAATTCTGGAGTCCTTTTTGTCTTATACACGATTGAAGCTCGGGTACACTTTACATTGCTGATATCTCCAGCCATCGGGTGGGTGTGGGGTGGGTGTGAGTGTGGATGTGGGTATGATATTAGATTGAACATACACACACCTAACACCCACATCCCATCAACACCCCACATTCACACCCTACCCCTTGCGGATTGAACGAGCTTTAGAACGTTTTTCTTCTTCATTTTTTAACATCAATGTGTCAAAAGAACGCTTTTGTCATTAATCTGTCTGCTTAGATAGTCATGTAGAATGCTACTTTAAACGACGCGTTCGTTGTATTTATCATATATGAGTTCGACAGATTATGATTTCGTTTATTCATGACGAAAGAAATTAGAAACTCAAGTGAAATGTGCTCGTGTGTCCAAATATCAATGTATACATATGTATATTGTAACATCGTAGCAACGTGAAAGGTAATGACAAGCAAAACAGAGTAAGTGAATAGAAAGAACATAATAGACACAGCTTGACAAGCAAAAAAGATTAAGTGAATAGAAAGAACATAATAGACACAGCATGAGAAGTCCTTTAATTAAGAATAATTGCCAATTTGATAAAATGTCATGTATTATTGACTCAAGTAAACATGCATGCCTAGCTCGAAAAACAACAAGTAATTTTCTCAACTATAAATACGAAACGAAATCAGATGCGAACACACAAAACAAAATACATGCACTTCGGTATCACAGAGCACATAAGTATATTCGATTTTTGATACTATAAGACTAATAGTATAATTAAAGTTGAATGTTAAGAGTGCACTCTAAGAAAAATATGTTGATGACTGAAAACGTTTTAGCTTTCGAAAAGTGAACATCTTTTTGCACTTGTTGCGATAAACCTGACTTGAATCAGAAAAAATCGATGCATTTCGTATCTTCCTTATGAAATTTGGTATGAATTAGTAGGACACGAAACGATTTCGTATGATTTGTAGAGAACATTCAATACTTTCACTCGATAAAAACGAGTTTCATATTTTGTAAGGAATCGACGGTACAGATGGGGTGTGGATATGACTGTGAGTGTGAGTTAAGAAGCACTTGACACACAGAACCGCACGCACACCCATACCCCGCAAAATTGCTTTCAGAGAAACTAACAGGTGGCCCATAAAGAATGGCGGTGTCAGTATTTCGTGAATATCTCCCTCAATTTTCATTGCCCAGGCTTCAACCTTTATTTAAAAGACGCGCCATTCAATTCTCTACAAAGCTGTATGAAA